GTGTAATTAAAAATAATGATATTTGTGTAATATATTATAAATTGTAAAAATAATTATTATGTAAAATAAGTAGTACAATTACTAAATTAAAAAAATATACTCTTATTTCTTGGGACTGACATAAATGAAAAAAAAAAAAAATGACACCCTTTTTTGGGTAGGGACGGAATATTTTTATTTATATTTAATTTTTTTGTATATATTTAAGAAAATTAGTTTATTTAATTAAAAATAAACAATAATATTTTTATTTAATTATATTATATAAAAATTTATTCTCTATCAATATCCATATTGTATATAGATTTACTGAGAGGATTTAAAATATTTAAAATACATATTCTAATTTTTTTAAATTAAACTGTTGGATTCTAAAATTCGGAGGTTCCAAGAATGTTCGTCGATTTGTCGGTGTAGGTTCTAGAAGTACTCCAAAGAGCATGTTCGTCGTCGGATTGGATGCGACTCCTACGATGGAGCCTGCACAGCTTCGCTCTAACACGAGGCTTCGAGCCTAAACGACCAATTTCGATGGATTTAAACTAACATCTACTAAAACTCGGATTAATCTACTGGAAAGCGGATAAAAATATGCTAGAAACATAAAACCATCTAATTCGAATTAAAATACCTAAAAACGAAACTAGAACATCAAAAGAAAATAGAGAGAAATACGAGTTGATCTTCTTGTGCGTGTGTGTTGTGTTTTTTCCCTAATTTTAAACCTAAGCTAGGATAACCACCTCTCCCACTAAAATGGGCGGTTACAATTATTCCTCCACCACTCTCAACCGCCTGATAACCTCCCACTACTACCTCCAACTTCCTTGTAACCTTCCACTACTACCTCCAACTTCCTGGTAACCTCATTCCACTACCTCCTAACCACCTGGTAACCTTCTTCCACAAGCTCCCTGATAACCTCCTTCCATCAGCTCCCTGGTAACCTCATTCCATAAGCTCCTAACCATCTGGTAACCTCCTTCCATCAGCTCCCAACCGCTTACATTGCCTTTGGACCGGGTTCCATTTGTTCTGAACTTCTTCCATTACTTCTGGACCAGGTCTGCTGCTTACTCCGACTTGTTTCCACATAATCTGTCATTTCAGTTTTTGGAAATATAATTATACATTTTAATTCCATTTTAAAACTTAAATTTTATAATTTCTTTAAGTTTAATTAAACTATTTAGTTATCTTAATCTTAATCTACAATTATTTTTATTATATGATAATTATTTTTACTAATACACTTCTTAGTTATTTACTAATTACACTTTACCTAAATTTTTGTATCTACAGTAATATGCCCATATTATATGGGATGGATGGAGGATTATATGCTTTAAAGAAAATATTGAAACAATTTGAAACTCATAAAAAAAGAGGAAATGAAGTTTCAATATGAAAATAAGATCAAATTATACTTGTTTACTCTCACTTAAATTGATAATTTGCTAAAATTTAAACGGTGTTGTAATATTATTATAGGATTAGACAATAGAAATATTAATTACTTCTACCGCTAATCACTATTTTATGTTTTGTATTATATTATATATTGTATATAATATATATAAGTAAATATATAAATAGATGTGTGTGCGTGAGTGTGTATATATATGTATGTAGTATGTAGGCTACTGTATATATATTATATTATATAATGTATGTATGTATATATATATAAATTTATGTATGTATGATATTGTTGACGAGAGAGATATGAGGAGAACGAAGGGGTTGTTCATTTGGTGGAGTAAATGAAAGTGTATTCATTCGATTTTATTCACGGACATATTTATAGGCAAACAAACCCCAACATGAAGGAAAGTAAAACATACATATCGATTACGTAGCACATTCGTGGGTGCTACGTATATAACACTCCCCCTTGGATGCTTTTATACAGAGAATGTGCCTCGTTAAAATCTTACTAGGAAGAAACCCTGTAGGACAAAAAATTCTAGTGAAGGAAAAATAGTACAACATTCTTGTATCAGATTCGCTCTCCCTGATCTGAGCATTATTTGAGATCCCTTAACCGACGCATCCCAATTTTCTTCACCAGTTTTTCAAATGTTGCCGTCGGCAATGCCTTGGTTAATATATCCGCCAAATTATTATCTGATCGAATTTGTTGCACATTAATTTCACCATTTTGTTGCAGATCATGAGTAAAAAAGAATTTTGGTGAAATATGTTTCGTTCTATCTCTTTTAATGTAACCCCCTTTCAATTGGGCTATACAAACCGTATTATCTTCATACAATGTAGTTGGGGGAATTTTATCGTCAGGTATTAACCCACAATTTTTCAGAATATGTTTAGTCATTGACCTCAACCAAACACATTCTCGACTAGCTTCATATATTGCCAATATTTCAGCATGATTTGAAGAAGTGGCAGTTAAAGTTTGTTTCATCGATCTCCAAGAGATCACTGTTTCGCCACAAGTAAATATATAGCCAGTTTGCAACTTGGCTTTATGGGGATCCGATAAATATCCTGTATCGGCAAAACCAATCAATTCATGTCGAGAATCTTTCGAGTAAAATAACCCGAGATCAATTGTTCCTTGGAGATAGCGAAAAATGTGCTCAATCCCGTTCCAATGTCGTCGAGTAGGCGATGTACTGAATCTTGCCAATAAATTTACAGTAAATGATATATTAGGTCGGGTGCTGTTGGCAAGATACATTAATGCGCCTATAGCACTTATATATGGCACTTCTGGGCCAAGTGTTTCTTCATTTTCTTATTTTGGTCTAAATGGATTCTTTGTTGGATTGAGTCCTCTGACGATCATTGAGGTACTTAACGGATGTGATTTATCCATCAGGAATTGTTTCAGTACCCTTTTGGTATAATTTGATTGGTGGATAAAGATTCCACTTTCCAAGTGCTCAATTTGCAAACCAAGACAAATCTTGATTTTTCCAAAATCTTTGATCTCAAACTCCATTTTTCAGATATTCAACAGCTTTATGAATTTCATCAGGAGTTCCAATTAAATTGAGATTATCGACATATACAATGATGATTGCGAATCTTGACCCATTTTTCTTTATGAAAACACATGGACATATATGGTCATTTATGTAACCTTCCTTTGTTAAGCTTTCGCTGAGACGATTGTACCACATTCGGCCCGATTGCTTGAGCCCATACAAAGATTTTTGCAATTTGATGGAATATAATTCTTTTGGCTTTGATTTGAATGATTCAGGTATGTTGATCCCTTCTGGAATTTTCATGTAGACGTCATTGTCTAAAGAGCCGTAAAGATAGGCAGTCACCACATCCATTAATCGGATATCAAAATTATTGTGTACTGCCAGGCTCACCAGATACCTGAATGTTATTCCATGCATGACCGGCGAATATGTTTCTTCAAAATTAATACCCGGTCTCTGGGAAAAACCCTGGGCTACAAGCCTTGCTTTATATCTTATGATATCATTATTTTCATTTCTTTTTCTCACAAACACCCATCTATAACCAACAGGTTTCACATTTTTCGGTGTTTGGACTATAGAGCCGAATATTTGCCGTTTTTTCAATGAGTCCAATTCAGACTTAATTGCGTATTTCCATTTTTCCCAATCATCTCTTTTCCGACATTCATCAACTGATTTTGGTTCATAATCCTCGTCATCTTTCATTATATCGAGTGCTACAGAATATACAAATACATTATCAATATTTGTTTTCTTTATGTTTCAATATTTTCCACTGGTGGTATAATTAACAGAATTTTCAATAACTTCATCATCATTTTTATCAGAATTTTTAGTATCAACCTCTTCAGGGGTTGTACTGACCTTTTCAGTTATTTGATCATTGTTGATATCTTCACCAGTATTTAATAATTTCTTCTTTCGTGGATTCTTATCCTTGGAACCCAACGGTCTGCCACGTTTTACGCGGGTAGTATGCTCATTAGCACTCGGCACCTTCCCTTCTGGGATATTTATTTTAGCTGGTGCATTTGCTGCTGCAATATATGATTTGGTAACTCTTGGCAGCATCATTAAAAGCATCAGGTAATTGATTTGTAATTTTATGCAAATGCACAATTTTTTGAACTTCAAGTTCACTATGTTTCGTACGATGATCAAATTCAAGTGGTATTTTCCACGAAATTTCTTTTTTCAGTTGATTACTGTCTCCCCCTAATGTCGGGAAATGAGATTCATCAAAATGACAGTCTTCAAACCTTGCGGTAAATAAATCACCCGTTGTTGGTTCAAGATATTTCGCAATCGAGGGTGATTCATACCCGACATATATACCCAACCTTCTTTGAGGTTCCATTTTCGTGAGTTGAGGTGGTGCAATTGGCACATAAACAACACACCCAAATTTAAGATTAATTTATATCTATTTACTCTCACTTAAACTGATGATTTGCTAAAATTTAAACGGTAATTTAATCCCTAATTTTTTATGGAGGAAAAATGGTTTGTTATCCTTAAATTTTATGGATTGTCATCCAAAATTGTAGAAAAAAATAAAAAAAAATAGTTTATGATCCTTGTTTGTTGAATTGTTAGTGTGTGTGCGGCAAATTTGTTAGAATTTCTACTATTTCACTAAAAAAAATTTCATTCAAAACATCAAAGAAACTATTTATTCTTTTATTTTATCATACAAATCAATTTTACATTTAAAATATCACATCAAAACCTATATATATATCACACCATACAATTATTTTAATTCAAAAATTTTACTATTCAAATTTCAACTCAAAATTCCAAAAATACACCCTGAGGGTGTGTTTGTTTGAAGGTTCCAATTTTGAGGGGAGATTTAAACAATAAAAATTTTAAATTTGAATAGTTGTATGATGTGATATAAATAAGTGTTGATATAATATTTTAAATATAATTAATTTTTAATATAATATAAAAAATAAAAAATAAATATTCTATTTGATATTTTTTTTAAAAAAAAATATAATAAATAATATATTTAAAATTCAATCCTCCAAAACAAACACACCTGAATATCTTCTAGATTGAAATCAAATCCACATGAGCCACCACAACCAAACAGAACTTCAGTTCAGCATAGTATTTTTTGGGTTTCCCAGAATGAACATGACCCTTGCAACACTCTCAACTAAAACTCGCACAACAAAATTACTACACATTCATATTCGCATCTTTTGTGTAATAAAAATACAACAGTAAATCAAATTAACACTCTTCTATTTGGATTTACCCTTGCTCGACTGTGCAGCAGCTGCTTTCACTAGCGTTGTCGGCTTCAGCACCCCTTTCGGATTCAACGCTTTCCTTATCTTGAAAACTGCCCACGCCGTCCCGATCGCGTGCCCGGCTGCCCCCAGCCCGTCCTCCGTCGCTTTGCCCGCATCTTCTCCATATCTGCAACCGCCGCCACGCCAAATATCCCCGATCAAACACTTCTTTTATTTTTTATATTATTTCAAAAATAAATTTAAAATTTAAAATATGACATCAAACAACTATTAAAATTCAAACTTCTGCTATTAAAAATTCAAAATTAAAATTCGAATCTACAAACACACACCTCATATCAAATACTCCCCGAGCACCTCTAAGGTCACATTTACATTTTGTGTCATTGTACTTAATGTCCTTCTATTGAAGTATCTTTAGAATTTTTTCTTAATTTGTACTACCTTTTGATATAATAATTAATATTCAAATATCAACATGCAAAAAGTAAATGAGATTTTTAGAGCCGGACCGAAGTAATATCAAATTTATACCAATAATTTTACAAAATTCCAAAACTTATATATGGTGCATACCTGTGGGACACGAGCCCCGTTGTCACGACTGAAGTTGTCGTCATCACATTCTTTCCGGAGACTTCCACTGCATCACAAACCTTGTCTACAAATTAAACACATATAAGTATTAATCGGGTTAGAAATTTTATTTGACACTATAAAAATGACGTTTGAGATTGAATGGATTGTGTTTTAGTAGAAGTGATAAGTACGCACTAAATCCATCGAGCGAGGCAAGAATGATCTCTCCCGGCAAAAGGTTGAAGAACTTTTGTCCTACTTTAGAATTAGCAACCGAACTTGTGAAGAATCCGGATACTTTCACCACACCGGAGAGTATCCCAGTTGCAACATTCTCGGACATCTTTGTCAACCTCTTTACCCTATCAAATTTGAACAATTTTAAAATTAATATTTTATACAAAAATATAAAGATCAAATCCTCAAAACACATATCTAATTACAGTTTTTACCAAATACATCCTAAGATTTTTAATTGAAAATTTTACTGATTAGTTCATTTTAGTGCCAATAAATGCAGCTTATAAAATTTATCCATATGTGCACAAAATTTAAAATCACATAATAATTCTTCCACTGAAAAAATAAATAAATAATATTTGCATTAGAACATCAACTATATATATATAAATTTTTTAAAATTTGGTTTTAGCAATGTAGTTCTTCGTTATTTTACTTAGCTACGTACACATGCATTAAAATAGTTTAGTTCACATAAATTTATTTTAGAACACGAACTTGTTAGGTTTGTACTTTGAATTAAATTTTTATTACACAACTTCTATATTTTTAATGAAACAAAATATTTAATTAAAATATCAAATTAAAATACAATTAACTAAAAACACAAACAGAAAACCCAGGCTCAAAACAAAAATAAAAAGATGGCTCTATTTACATATATAAATTTTGAAAACATAAAAATAAAAATTCTGTAAGTGATGTTTTATATATTTTCCTAAATGTCTACATTCCTAGATTTCAATTGTATTAACAAAAATATTCTTAAGTTCAAAGTTTTAAGCATCAAATTGGGTGTGTTTGTCTGCGGGTTTGGATTTTGAGTTGGGATTTGAATAGTAAAAATTTTAAATTTAAATAGTTGTATAATGTGATATAAATAGAGTTGATGTGATATTTTGAATGTAAAATTAATTTTTAATATAATATAAAAAATAAAAAATAGATTTTTAATTTGATTTTTATTGAAAAAAAAAATGGAATGAATAGTTGCAGTCCACCAAAATTCTTCAAACAAACCCACCCTAATCTGCTACACAAATGAGCTAAATATCATAAATTAAATTTGCACGAAAAAATCTAAATAATAAAAATAAAAATAAATGTATATATACTGTATATACTAAATCCCAATATTATTATTTATTTATATTAAATATAATTAATCATACCTTCGCATCCGGCGCAGTGCCTGGGGACTAAGTTGTGAAGGTTTGGTCGTCTTCCCCAACCTGCTCCTGAAGAATTCATGTCCCCAGTTCAGGCGATCCACCGTCACGTCGCCGCACCACAGAATCCCTCTGATCATCTGCCCCGACCCCGCCGCAATCATCTTCGCAATTCCGCTGCTGTACTCCTCCACGTTCGGCGCCAGCGTCGTCCAGTACGCCGCCGCGCCTTTCTCCACCACCTCCTTCTTCGCATCCATCTCCGCCGGAGATACTTCTCCCCACTCCGCCGCCGCCGCCGCCGCCGACGCCTTCTCAACCCTAAACGCACTGAATTTCTCCAGCGCCGCATCCAATTTCTCCACCAATCCTTCCTGCCCCTTCGCGGCGACCGTCAATCCGTAATTCAAAATACTGTCGCTGTTAATTTCGCCGGAACCTTCCGCCGGAACCCTAAGAGTGAAGAAATAGTGCGAATCGTCGAGTTTCACGGCGGCCTCGTCCTTCGCCAATGGCCACTGGATTTCATCCCCGATCCGAACCAGAGCCGCCACGATGTTATCCCCCTGCTTCAATTGAACCACCATTAACTCGCCGTGCGCGAGCTCGACGCTCTGCTCTTTGTCGATCAGATGCACAATCGCGCCGGAGATTCTCACAATCACTTCCTCCGACGACTCGAACGTCGACTTCTGGCCATTTCCTCCACCGCCTTTCGTCGTCTCCGCTTCTTCTTCGGCGTCTGGGAACAGATTCTTCGCCAATTCGTTCATTTCAATCGTCGGATAGAGCGCCGAAGATTGGGAGGGGCTTTTTCTAGGGTTTGACAGAAATGGCGAATTCGAATCAGGATTGGTCTGCACGACTTCTGGATACAGAGAATTGGGGGTTTTGGAAGCCATGGTCGATTCGATTGATTGAGATCTGATTTCTTCCCTTAAATTTGCAGGATTGTTCGATCAGATGATTTTTATTGGAAGAAACTTAGGGAAGAAGGAAACGGTGGGCAGGCGTGTCGGTGGATGAAGATGAAGATGAAAGAGCAGCAGCGGTGGCGGCGTATATCGGCGCCACGAAGCAATTGGTGGAGAGGCCGCGTAGACGCCGTGGACTGTACGAACTGCAGAAAAGGTAACCGTAGAGTAATTTGTATTGAATATTTGTATTGCCCTGGTCAAGCTTCATAAATTATTTTGTGTATAAATAACATAGTGGCTCTATTAAATGTTAATACAATATTTTAAGCATTTTGATATTGTTTAGATAAATATCCTATCAAATATATTTTCTATTTTTGCCTTAGGAAAATATGCTTAAAAACTTTTGACCAGTTTTTAATATATGAGATTTTTTTTTGTCTATTGTAATAAGAAAAATATAAAAAATAGTTATACGTTTTTTAAAAAAATAAAAATATTTTAAGATAAAAAAAATAGAAAATAGCCATATTTTTAGAAAAGGTATTATTTTTAAAATTTTAACACTACATCACTTTTACATCTCATGTCCATGTTGTCGTTTAATCGGTCTAACATCTCATGTCTCATTTTTTTAGAAAAAAATTATATATTTTAATTATACTCTTTTCCTCCGTCCCTTAAATATCTTGTTACTTTTTGCACATAAATTCTTAAATATTAGTATAATATTGATATGTAAAAATTAAAAGAAAGTGATCAAAATAATTTTATTAATATCGTATGATATGAATATAATGATAATTTGTATAATATACTGTAAGTTATAAAAATATTTTTAATATTAGGTAGATAACAATGTTACTAAAAAAGAAAATTGTTATGAGAAAACGAGAAAGAAAGAAAAAAAAAACACAGATGTTTTACGTGGTTCGTGACGGTGTGTCAACCAACGTCCACGGGCAGGAACCGGAGAGATTTTATTATACTGATTCAGAGTTACAGCCATGTCATACGACTATGAACCATAGCTATCTATTTATAAGTACCCCAAAACATCATAAATCTTAAGCCTGTTTGTTATTAATTAAGATAAACCCAAAAGGAACCCTGCCCTTGAAGTATATCTTTACATACAAATATATGGCCTTATTTATAGCTAGTGGACGTAGCAGTTGCAAGTAGTTACAAAGTAGTTCCAACCACTAGGTAGTTAGGCAGTTGGTGGCGGTTATTCTGTTGAAGCAGTTGTTGGCCATAACTCCCATTGTGTTCGCTCCGCTTGCTTGGGCTTGTAAGGGCGCAGATCTTCTTCGCTTGCCGAATGACTGGAGGGCATCAGCGTAATTGAGCAGGTTTGTCTGTGCTGGCTGGTAGTGGAATGGTTGTACCGCTGCGGGTTGGACACTTAGGCGATATTTGCACTGAGTTGCCGTCGCTTCGCTGCGGTGGGTGTCTGGTCGCAGGCCTGAGCGATGGAGCATCGCTTGCGAGCGGAGGCGGCTATCGCTTGCGAGCGGTAGGAGCTATCGCTTGCCTTTCTTACCTTAGCTTTTCTAAGTGATGGAGTCATCGTTTGTGACCGGAAATATTGCTTGTCTCATCTGCCTTAGCTTTTCTGGACCCATATCACCGTTTAAAAAGGGCAAAAATTGTTAATAATCTCAACAAACTATTCTGGATCATGCCAAGCGAGATATATCAATAAAGTATGCCATAAATCAAATATTGTGATGGTTGTTATACAGAAATTCAAGTAATACATAGTTTTGTCAAGCGAAGAATATGCTCATATTTGAAGTCATTATCACATATACAAACTGAAGCATGAGATGGATGAATTTTATTTTTGCATGCTCAAGTGGAATAAAAAGGTAGATGAGGCCCGGAATTACCATGCATTCAAGTATGAACTTTGCTATCCTTGGAGTTGTAAAAAATTTGTCAATGAATCCAAAACCGTCGAATAAAGGCATAAGCACAAGAAAAACTCTTCGGTTACAGCAAAAAATAGATGAGCAACCAAGTGATCCACAAGTAGGAGTAATTCGCCTCTTGTTAAGTGAAATAAATCCCAGAGTGTTGGCATGTGGTGAAAGACGATGTGTTTGACCTTATCAAGAACTTTCAACTTCTGAATTTGTCAAATGGTTTTGGGGCAGCTTTCATTACTTCAACTCCAAAAAAAATAGGTCGGAGTCTTTTGAGGACTTTCGTCCTATTAGTTTTACTTTTGTGTGGATATAAAATAATAGAAAAGTTGATGAGTATCCGGATTCAACAAGTTTTGGAAGATGTCATCGGTCAAGAACAATCCGCATTCTTTAAATGACGACAAATTTTAGGTGAGATTTTAATAGCATCAGAAACTATTCAAGCAACAAGACGGCATAAATAAAGGGTTTTGTCATAAAGGTGGACGTATCTAAAGCATATGATAGTGTTTCTTAGAAGGCACTGGAAAATATTATGTCAGCCATGAATTTTGGCAATAATTGAAGATATTAGAGTATGAAATGTATCACATCCTCAACGGATGTAGTGCTCATCAATGGCTTTCCAACGGATCTTCCCATTTCATAGAGGTATTCGCCACTGATACTCTTTATCTCCGTATCTTTTCTTACTGGTGGCAGAAGTATTGAATGCTTTAATAAAAAAAACTTGTTCTAGTGATTGATTAAAGAGCTTCTTAGTAGGACGTCTTGGGGTCCAAGTAAGTCACCTTCAATATTCCGATGCTTCTATTTTTTTTCGTATTGGCAATTTGTTAGCTTTGAAGAGAATACTTCGGATTTTTTGGGTTTGCACTGGTCTCAAAGTAAACTTTTCTAAATCCCAAGTATTTGGCATTGGGGTGACAAAAGTAAAACTTGATAGTACTAAAGAGCTATTGGGATGTTTTGGAAGAAGGTGGTTGTGTTCATACTTAGGAGTTCTAATTGGAGGAAGAAATAATGATAAACTGATTTGGAGGCCGATACTTGAAAAAATTGATAGTCAATTGTGCCACTTGAAAAAAAGATCTCTTTCGCAAGTAGAGAGCTATGCTTAATCTGATCAGTGATGAATATGATCCCTTTATATTTTCTATCTATTTTCAAAATTCCAGCGGGGGTTGCAACAACTGATCCTGTTTATGAAAAATGATGGAAAATCGATGCTTCTTCTAAATTTATATGCATGGTGTGGAGGATTATGCATGGAGGAATACCGGTTTGGGAAGCCTTAAGAAGAAAAGAGATTTTAGACGCAAGTCAAACTAGCTATCCTTTCGGTAATTCTTCAGTTGAAACTATTGATCATTTGTTCTTACACTGTGTCATGGCGTCAAATATTTGGCCTGAAATCATACAATAATATGAAGTGCATTGAGTGATACCAAAAAATATTTAAAAGCTAATTTTCCCATGTAGATTCCTTTAAAAGAATGCTCTAGATGTTTGGGAGTTGGTCATGGTGTCAACAATTTGGAGTATTTGAACATCTTGCAATGAGTTAATATTTCAAGGAAAATTGGCATCGACAATTGGTATGCTGGAGCGAAGCAAATGAAACATATGAAAATGGGTCAAGGTGAAAAAAATCTTCAGTTGGATCAGCGTCAGTTGTGCTTTACGGGAATCCATCTCTAATTAATTTATCTAATTGGAGAAACAAAAATCCCTAATGCAGAAATGTTTATTGGGAATCTTATGAAAAGGGATGTTGGAAGATTAATATTGATAATTAAATGTTTGGGTGTCCCGGTAATTTTGGGGTTGGTGCAGTCATCGGAGATGGTAAAGGAATTATCTTCTTTATGCTCTCAAAATTCATAGGAGTGATTGACTCTTGCTCGGAAGAGTTAGAAGTCTTACGGAAAAATGCTGGTGTGGCTGAAAATTCATATTTGATATTCTTTTCCAAAATCGGTGATAGAGAGTGATTCATTATCGGTCGTGACTTGGTGTTCTGGAAAATCGACGCATCCTTGGAGACTAAACACCGAGAGTTTCAATAGGCATGGGAGATTTTGAACCATGTCAAGGCATTTGAGGTTAAACATATTGTTAGAGAAGGCAATTATATGGCGAATTATCTAGCAAAACGCGACACAAAAGGAATCTCAGACTTTGAAGTATGGATATAATAGCAAGTTAGGGATCATAATATTGTTTCAGTAGTAAAATGTGAGCATAATTTGATCACTACTGGTAATAAATCAGGCTTAAGTCATGCGTTGGCTTGAAAAATTTACGATAAATAAAATTCGTTTTGTTTCAAACAAAAAAAAAAAGTACAAAGAAAATAAATATTTTTATAAAAATTAGAAATATTTGATGTTTATATATAAATTATTTTTAGTATAATAAAAAATAATATTTTTAAGTGAGACAAAAAAAAATAGTAAAAAAATACATTGAATTAGAACGAATATAATATAGGGTAAACTGTTTTTTTTAGTCCCGTAACTGGACCCCCTTATCATTTTAGTCTCGTAAGTGGAGCCTGTCGCAAACTAGTTCCATAACTGAAAAAATTTCGCTGTTTTAGTCCTCCGGCGCCAGAGATGCCCGCGTGGCTCGCCGGAGGTGACGTGTCCGCCAGGTCTCGCTGAATCAGCGGACACGTGGATTTTTTTATTTTTTTAATTTTTTTTAAAAACTTATTTTTATTTTTATTTGTATTTTTTTATTTTTTTATTTGGTCCAATTAAAAACAAATTAAAAAAATGAAAAAATAAATAAATCCACATGTCCGCCAGGTGTCGTTAACCTAACGGGACACCTAGCAGGCACGTCACCTCCAGCGAGCCACGTGGGCGTCTTCGGCGCCGGAGGGCTAAAATAGCGAAAATTTCTCACTTATGGGACTAGTTTGCGATAGGCTCCACTTACGGGACTAAAATGATAAAGGGGTCCAGTTACGGGACTAAAAAAACAGTTTACCCTAAAATATAATCCATATAAGAGAAAAAATCAATTTTGGTCCCAATATAACCAAAATTTATCAATTTTGGTCCCAATATAAAAAACTCATCAATTTTGGTCCCAATATAACCAAAACTCATCAATTTTAGTTCAAATATAAAAAAAACTCATCAATTTTAGTCCCAATATAAACAATTTCAATCAATTTTGGTCTCATTATAAACAATTTTAATCAATTTTAGTCCCACCATTAAAAAACTAACGGAAATTGCTGACGTGGACATGACGGAGGTGACGTGGCAGTTGACCTGGAAAGTACACGGCCATGTACAATTATACACGGCCATGTTGTTACATGGCTATGTATATTTCAGTGTATAATTATACATGGCCATGTTGTTACACGACCATGTACAATTATACACGGTCATGTTGTTACAGGGCCATGTATATTTCAGTGTATAATTATACATGGTCATGTTGTTACACGACCATGTACAATTATACATGGCCATGTACATTTCTATTTTAGTTTAAAATTTTGTTTTTTTATATATTTTTTTTTAAAAAAATTTATTTTGAATTTAAAATAGTTGATATAGTTAAAATGGACAAATCAATAGTGACTATAATATAATTAAAATTTATCAACTTTAATTCAAATATAAAAATTTATAAAATATATTTTTTTTGAAAGGTTTTGTCTAAAATTTTATTATTCATAAAAAAAAAAAAAAAAAAAAAATTCTCTTACAAACATCCAATTACACAACTATTTTTTAATTTTATATATTATAGTAGTATTCAAAATTAATTTATTATTTCAATACATTAATTGAATGTTTGTAAGAGAAATTTTTTTGCTAAATAGTAGAATTTTAGACAAAATCTTCCAAAAGAACATACTCGATAAATACCTGTACTTGAACTAAAATTGATATATTTTAATTATATTATGATTATTCTTGATTTTTTTTTCCATTTTAACTATATCAACTATTCTAAATTTAAAAAAAAAATTAAAAAATATAACAAAAAATTAAACTTTTAGACCGAAACAGAAAGGTACACGGCCGTGTATAATTGTATATGACCGTGTAACAACATGACAATGTATAATTATACACTGAAATATGCATGGCCCTGTAACAACATGGCTGTGTATAATTGTACATGGTCGTGTAACAACATGGCCATGTATAATTATACACTGAAATATACATGGCCATGTAACAACATGGCCGTGTACTTTCGAGGTCAACTACCACGTCACCTCCGTCATGTCCACGTCAGCAATTTCCGTTAGTTTTTTAACGGTGGGACCAAAATTGATTAAAATTGTTTATAATGGGACTAAAATTGATTGAAATTCTTTATATTGGGACTAAAATTGATGAATTTTTTTATATTGAGGCCAAAATTGATGAGTTTTGGTTATATTGGGACCAAAATTAATGAGTTTTTTATATTGAGACCAAAATTGATGAGTTTTGGTTATATTAAGACCAAAATTAATGAAGTTTTTTATATTAAAACCAAAATTAATAATTTTAATTATATTGGAATCAGAGTTGATTTTTTCCCTACATATGTAGATATTAACATAAAATATATACATTACATATTTGAAAAATTAATAATGTAAAATACAATATTATTTTTATATCAATTCTTTTATATATACGTGTGTGTATATATATATATATATATAATCTAATAGTAGAACTACAAAAACAAGCACACATTATATTAAAAAAAGGAAAAATCAATCTAACTTTTATTATTATCAAACTTTCAAACCAAATCCAAATAATAATCCAAACAAAAAGCTATTTCTCCTATCATTTCATTTTTATATGGGGCCTGTGCATTTAATATTTTTTAAAGCTCCTGAACCCACAACATGTGCATTATATACTCCCCTGTCCTAGTCACATTTATTTTTTTCACATAAATTTTCTAATATTAGTATTATATTAAATTAAAGTAAAAAAAATAAAAATACTTCTATTAGTACGGTGTAATATAAAAGTAATAGTATTTGTGTAATATATTATAAATTGAAAGAGTATTTATTATATTAGGTAGGTAGTACAATTACTAAATTAAGGAATAGTAACCTTGTTTTGGGACGGATGAAAATAGAAAATGGTAAACTTTCAATGGACGGAGGAAGCAATGTATTTTTAGGGTGTGTTTATGTGGTTCGGGAAAAATTGGATTTGACTTTAGGTTTTATTTGAATTTTTATGTGCATTTGAATGAATTTATATGTTATTTTGTATAAGTTTGATTTAAGTTTGAGGAGTTTTGATATTTTTAATTTGATGGATAGTAAATATAATATTTCCTCCGTCCCAAACACTCTGCAATATTTTCTTTTTGGTATGTCCCAAACACCATACAACATTTCTAAAATAGGAAATAATTAATTATACATAATTTCTACCACACACTTTATCCCCTCACATTATCCAAATAAAATAATAAAATATATATTTTTCTCTCCATCACATCACCTAATTTCTAAATTATTCTACTTAATATTACCCACCTAAAAATCTGTGCCAAAAACAAATATTGCACCTTGTTTGGGACAGAGGAAGTAATATTTATATATTAAATTTAAATTTTTAAAATTAATAATAGTATGAATTTATATTAATATATGTATTTAATGATTTTTATTTTTTAAGACAATATGATGCAAACCTTTTCAATCATATATTGATTATAAATAATTTTATCTTAAAAATTAATTAAATAGTTCTCAAATTAAAAAAAACACATTTTCTTCATTTCAAAATAATAGACTTGTTTGCATTGGATACGAGATTTTAAAAATATTGATAGTTTGTAAAAATAATAAAATAAAATAAAAATATATTTATGAAGATATGATTATTTATAAAAATAACATTACTGTTTTAAGACGGATACAAATGAGAAACAAGAATATTGTATTGGAATGGAGAAAATATTATTTTTTTAATATAATAAACTGAAATAATTTTATACTTATATTTTACTCTTTCCGTTCCTCATAAAATATTCAATATTTTTATTTTGGTTTGTTTCACATAATTGTTTTTTTTTAAAAAAATTATTATAAATTCTAATCACATTTTAAAATTTTTAATATTAATTAAATTATTAAATTATTTTAATTTAATTTATAATAATTATTATTATATTATATTATTTTTATTGATATACTCTTTAATTACTTTTTAATTATAATTTTTATAAAATTTTGTATTTACATAAATCTGAACACTTTTATAAGAAATAGGTAAAATAATACTCCCTCCGTCTCATAATCATTCTCTTTGGAGTTTTGCAGTAAATTAAAAATAATATTAATTTATTGGTAGTAAAAATGTATAAGATATTATTTTTGTCTTTTTTTAACTTTATGTAAAACATAATTGTATGTATATAATATATATGCAATTTAAATAAAAAGGAAATGTATTTTGATATTAATGTATTATTACTTATATTTCCTCGGTCATTGAAATATCTATGTTCACTTTCCTTTTTGGATTATTATAAAAAAATATTTATGTTTCATTTTTAAGTAAAAAATTATTACACTTTTATATTTTTTTACTATAAAAAATTAACAATTATTATTCACTTTTATATTTTTTTTACTATAAAAAAATAACAATTATTATTCACTTTTATTAAAATCAATATCCGATCAAATGAACACACATTTGCAAGACCGAGGGAGTATAAAAAGAATATACTCCCTCCATTCCCATTTTCGTCTGTTCCAAAATAATTGTCTTGTTTCTTTATTTAGTAACCAGTCCCCACTTTATAACAAAATTATTTCTACTTTTTCAAATTATCTATAATTATTACTCTAACATACTTTTTAAAATCATTCAAAAAGTAAGGTATTTTAGTCTTTTATCTTATACTTTATATCTACTGTCATTTAAATACTACTTCCTTCGTCCCAGAATTATAGTCTCGGCTGTGTTGGACATGAGATTTAAGAAATATTGATATTATATTAATAATATGCAAAATGTATATTTAAAAGACATTTTTGTCCATTGTGAGTGTATTAGTGTAAAAAGTAGTGGCAATTGTGTAATAATAATGAAAAAGTAAGGATAGTTATATAGTGATATGGTTATTTATGGAAATAAAATTATTGTTTTAGGATGAATAAAAATAGTAAATAAGACGATTGTATTAAAACGAAAGGAATATTACTCTTTAATTTCGGCGTCAACTTCGAATAAAACATCCTTGATGGAAGAGGGAATATGTATATATATTTTTTTGAATGAGAGTAAATAAAAAAATACAAGTACTATACTGTAGGGGTTACCGTTACTCCTCGAAAGAAAATATAGGACAAAAAATCTGTAATCACACCAGTCCGTAGACTGTTGTTCTCACCAGACAACCACCAACCACACACTACTGCACTTATTTATTTATTTCAAACTAAATATTAATTAATTAATTAATTAATTAATTAATTAATATTATATCACAAGTAGCTGCAGAAATATAATATAGCCATCTCATATCCCAGGATAATACAGACATACATACTCTACTACTACTACTACATCTGCTAAGTGCTAACAACCAACAACTTCTTCCATTTCAAGAACAAGCTTTAAAGAAGACGAAGACGAAGACGAAGACGAAGACGACGATCATCATCAAATTAAATAAATAAATATATAAAAAAAAAAAAAAACTTACATGATATCAAATTATTTATTTCCTTAAGACAATTCGATTTTCACTTCACAATCACATCTGGTTTATTTGCGTTATCACAACGGGGCTTCTTACCACATGTTTCCCGTCCGTCCACGTCACCGCTCCGAACGCCGACCCCGACTCGCCGATCGTCGCATTCTTCTCGTCGATTCTTACCGTTACATAGTACGGTTGCTTTCTTACACCCTCCGAGAACATCAGCTTTCCCGGCATCACCGTAATTGCGACCCCCTTTGGCCCCTCGATCGTCGCTCTATACACGGCGCTCGCCTCCTCGCCTACATTCGTCGCCACCCTAATAAATGTCTTTGTCGTGACCCCGCCCCGGGTTGGGAATAGGGCAGCGATCGATGGGTAGTTGAAATTCTCCGGCGACGCCTTTTTCGTCGGGCAGTTCACCGGGGATCTTGTAATAACCTCGATTGGCTTTGGGCCGTACCCGATTGCGCATAGGAAGTTAATGTAGTCTGCGTCGGTTACGTCGTAAACGAGCCCCGGATCCATGGCTAAGTCGAGCTTTAAATTGCCGGCGCCGTAGTCGTACGATGTCGCGCGATTTTCGTTCGACTCGTCGAGAATTGGATTCATTGTGTTGTCGACTAAACTTGCGGTCGTCATCATCGCCGACCGGATCGCCGCCGGGCTCCAGTCGGGGTGCGCCGACTTAAGCAAGGCGGCTGCGCCGCTAACGTGCGGGCACGCCATTGACGTCCCGGATAATATATTGAACTCGGTTTTTCGGGTGTCCGACTCGAGGCTGGACGGGCCAACTGCGTCGGACCACGCCGCGAGGATGTTCACTCCCGGGGCGATCAAATCGGGCTTCGGAATTTCCGGGTTCAAGCTGTTCGGGCCCCTTGCGGAAAACGAAGCGACCACCGGAGCCGGCTTCGTTCCGATGACGGTGCCATGGAAATTCAACGTTGCCGTGGCGGCCGTTGGATTTGCCGCCGAATAGGCCTTGATACGATCTCCTTCGTCGGATCCAACGGCGCAAGCCGGAAGCAAATGTGCGTCCCCGACCAAACCGGCACCGTTTGATACGCCATTGGCGAGGATCATCCCGACGCCGCCGGCTTTCTTGACGACCAATCCTTTTGCAACACGTGGATTGCTTCCGCGATCGCAAATTACGATTTTGCCCCTCACCGTGGCTGGATCAAGCGAGTTTTCCATACACAGGGAGACGGAGAGGACGCCGGATTTCCCCGGGTAAACTAAAGGGTACATTTTGCCGTTCAGCGGCGGGCCGGAGTACAGCGACACGCCGGAAAGTTTAGTCCCGTCGCCGAGGACCACTTCCGCCGGGAAATTCCGGTCAATTGTGGCGGCGCCGACGGTGGTGATCCATGGAGCGAGATTGGTTACCGACATTCCGTTAGGGCCCTCGTTTCCAGCAGATGAAGAGACGAAAATGCCCCTCGAAACGGCGCCGTATGCTCCGATGGCGATGGGGTCGAGGTAGTAAGGGGACGAGACGCCCTCGCCGCCGCCGATGGAGATGGAGATGACGTCAACGCCGTCGTTCACGGCGGCGTCGAACGCCGCCAGAATATCGGAATCGAAGCAGCCGGCGATTCTCCAGCAAACTTTGTAAATCGCGAGTCGCGCCTTCGGCGCGACGCCTTTCGCGATTCCGGCGGCGTAGCCGCCGAGGCTCGCCTTGAACACGTGTCTTCCGGCGGCGGTCGACGCCGTGTGCGTGCCGTGCCCGTCGGCGTCTCGCGGCGATTTGAACTCAATCGTCTCGTTAATTCCCCCAAAAATGGCTCCGAATCCGGCGCCGGCGCCGGCTTCGTGACCTTTCGAGAAAAACCTGGCGCCGATGACTTTCCGGTTACAGTTATTCGCCGTGAACCGGACGCCGGTCTGGCAAATTCCTCGCCACCGCGCCGGGACGGGACCGAGATTCAGATCGGAAAAGCTCCGGCGCTCAGGCCAAATCCCGGTATCGAAGACTCCGACTATGACGTCGGAGCCGTAGTCGGATTCCGACCAGAGGCCGTGCTGATTCCGGAGGCCGATGAACTGCGGCGAGCGCGTGGTGTGGAGGCGCCGGCGGCGGTCCTCGAATGTGGCGAGGACGGCGGGGTGGCCGGCCAGGGACGCGGCGGCGTCCGGCGTTAATAAGGCGGAGAAGCCATGGAAGACGGTGTCGTAGACGTGGAGAATGGCGGTGGGTTGAGCGAATTCGGAAGTGTACCAGTGGTAGTGGGTGGGGAAAATGGATGGCTTGGATGAGGCGTCGATTCTGATGATGTAGGTTTTAGCCGTCGGATCGGGAGCGGCTGCAAAGAGGGGGATCCATAGGAGGAGCAGCAGGAACAGAAAAGGGGGAGACGCCATTGATGAGAGGTGAGGGAGGGTGAAATTAGGGTTTTAATTTAGCCGTTAGAGTAACTGAATAAGGAGCAATAAATTGGGGGAAAAGCGTAGGGTAGTGCGTCGGCCATGTGGAGGCAGATGAGTCAGCTGAGAATTGCAGAGATTGCTGCGGACAAGGCGGCATTGAAAGAAAGCTTCACCTCACTTCATGGTACTGACCTAAATCCTCTGCTCAAAGAATTCCCCGTTTTTAATTTAACATTTTAAAATATTTCTCTCTCTCCCTCTCCCTCTCCCTCTCGTACTCGTATCTATCAATCAATTTATTTTTTATGAAAATTTTAAAAATATTAATATTTATTAAAATATAGTAAAAATAAAGATAAAAATATTAAAATATATTTATTAATATGATATGATATAAAATTAACATTATTTGTGTAATATATTATAAATTTGAAAAGTATTTATAACAATAACAAATAGCACCGTTACTAAAAAAATATATATTTTATTACAGAGCCATCAAAATGGGCTGAGAGCCCGTATGGTTGGCCCATCCCGCCTCACTTTTTAAGAGAGTTGAATTGTAATTTTGTAAGCCCGTTAAAATGCAGGCCTAAACAGCCCAACCCACGTGGTTCTTAGGTTGAAAGTGGGTTAGCCCGCAATGGGATTAATCCGTGAGCTAAGTAAATACAATTATTAGTACTCACCTGTATCAACTAAATATTTTTTAATTACTTTCGTATTAAAAAATTATAATAAAAGTAATCAAATATTAATATCAGAATATATTTTAATTTTATGTAAATTATAAATATACCATTATAAATACAATTAATTTATAAATAACCTACAAAGAGAAAAAAATATCAAAATCATCATGTACATTTTATTTAATAAATAATATATTATTATTTTTAATCTACTAAAAAGATATATTTTTAATTAAGATGAATAAAATTAGCTTAAATAAATTAATCAATATTGTCTACACGTTGCTTTTATTTTCTAACTCTCAATGTCACTTTTATTTATTTCGATTTTTTATCATTTGTTTTGTTCGTCTTCCATTTTATTGTTTTATAATATTTTTTATTTTAGAATATACAGTTTCATAAAATTAATTATGATTTATTTGTAAAATATTTCTTATTATTAATTTTTTAAAACTCACTAACTAATACTCCCTCCGTTTCATATGTATATATTCATTTGTTTTTTGCACGGAGTTTTAGAAATATTAGTATTATATTAGGATAAGTAGAAATAAATGTAAAAAGACTAAATTAATTGTATGATATAAAGATAATAAATTTGTGTAATATATTGTAAATTTGAAGGATATTTGTAATGTTAGGTAGACAATACAATTACTAAAAAAGTAAATGAATACTTTGTTATGGGACGGACCAAAATGAAAAAAAATTGATAGATTGTTAAGGGACGAAGGGAGTACTATTTAGAAATTGAATTTTTTTTATATTTTTTTTATTTTAAAATATTTATTATTTAGATTTTACAATAAAACTATTTTTAGATATTTTTAAATATTAATTACGAAAATATTTATAATATTATTTTTTAAAAAAAAGTTTGTGGGCTAGCCCACTTAGCTTACCACCCGCCGGTGGGTTGGGTTGGGTTGATGAAATTTTGATTCACCCCGCCACGGGTTGACCCGCAAACAACCTGCCTATTTGCGGGTTATGGTGGATTGTGGGTCAATCCGCCCCGTTAATAAGTTTTGACAGGTCTAGACAGACCAAAATAAATATATAGATATATTGTTAAGAGATCGAGGAAGTATATGATAAGATGGAAACATGTTTAAATTTGGCGTATGAAAAAAAAGTAATATGTTATTAATTAATGTGACTCGAGAAGTTTTGATAATATTTTTATTTGATTTACTTTCTTCATTTCAATTTAAAATATTTATTTTATTATTTTTGCATATCTCATTTTAAGGGTAAAAATATCAAAAGATTTTACACACTTTTATTAAATAAATATTATTATTGGACCCCTTTTATTTTAGACGGAGAAAGTATAAAATAATTGTAATAGTATATTTATAATTTAAGTAAAAATTAAATGGTACTTTGATGATAGTAGTATATAATTACTTTTTTTTAAAATAAAAAGTGGGTACTTTTGAGTAGACAAATGAAAATAGTAAAAATAATATTTTAACTTAGAACGAACAAATATATTTTTTAGTTAATATTATTTTCAAAGAAAACTTTTTCGATTAGTTATAATTATGTTATAGTATTTTTTATTAGTTAAATTTATACATAATTTATTTATAATAAATAATTTTATTCACTCATAATTATATTATTCATTCATTAACAAATTATTAAATTTATCACTATTTTTTCTATTTATCATATCATTTTAATTAATTTTTTATAATATTATACTTTACTTTTTATTTACCATATATTATATTAAAATATCATTATTTATTTAGTTTTCATGTGCAACAAAATGACATAATTAATCCAAAAAAAAAAAAATAGTTCAATATACATATATGGGTGGGTGTGTTTGTTTAGGGTTTGAATTGATATTTGAACATGAAAAATTTTAAATTTGAATAGTTATATGATGTGATACTTTAAATATAAAATATAGTTTTAATATAATATAAAAAATAAAAATTATATGTTTAATTTGATATTTTTTTTTTAAAAAAAAAATGATCAATATTGAAATTTGGAGAGAATCCTCCCAATAAACACACTCTAAGTATACCAAAAAAAAAATAATTGTTCAATATACATTCAATGGTAAAACGAGAACTATTGCCTCGCGGAATGGAAGACTAAAATGATAAAAAAATAAAATAAAAGATTATAGTATAAAAAAATAATTTAAATACTACCTCAATCCCATGAGAATGATTCCATTCATTTTTGTCATCCAAAAAAAAAGATACAATTTTTTAATTTAATAATTGTACTATCTATCAATATAATTAATACCCTTAAAACTTCTAATACAATATATAAATATCGTTACTTTTATATCATACAATCTAATAGAGATTTTTTTTTTTTATCATTTTCACTATAAATCAATATAATACTAATATTGAAAAATTTACGTGCAAAAAACGAATGTTGCCCTTTTTGCGGGACGAAGATAGTATAAAAAATACATTAATTAAAATATATTTGATTTTAAAACGGAATATGTATTAAACTAAATAGAAAGTTACAAATATTTCTTTGTTAATGTAATATACTAAACAATCATTAAGATATTCATCTTTATTTCGCAAATTATTTTTGTTAATCTTCGTTACTGTGAAAAATCTTTTAAATGTGGCTATTATCGGAGGTGAAATCAATGTCAACTCAATTTGTCCATAAATCAAATAGAAGTACTATTACAATTCATTTGAGCAATTTTCTGTACAAGATCTTCAATATCACAAAAGTCACTAAAAGTTGGTTCTGATCTCACATAACGAAAGAATGTTTAAAATTGTAATAAATCTGATTGATCATAATTATTTGAATATAACTCAACAAGATGAATAATCAGTTCTTAATCAAAAGTGACAAATAAATTTCTAGATTTAAGACATGTTAGTCTCACCAAAATCTCCGAATTTGATTTAATAAACCGAATATTTATATCTTTAAAAATAATATCGATAATCTAACATTGTAAAAAATAATGATATTTCATAATTTAAACTAATACCCCAATAATATTCATAATAAATTAAGAAAAATAAAATACAATATTTGTATAAAAAATATCTACTCGAAAATAATAAAAATGCATTTTTTTTTTCTTTGGGCATCAACAAGTATGATCAATCGTCCAAAGATGACATCATTCATATTGGGGACAATAATTTCACGATCCGAACAAAACTTAGTTATTTGTTCAAAAAATTCCCCACAGCCACTGGCGTTGAATTCTTGTAATTCATTTTTCAAAATTGCAATCAATTGCACAATAAGACTTATATTCTTATTCTTTTGTTGATGCATTTGTTTTTCATAATATATGCTTCATCATGACCTACAAATATAAATTCAAAATATTCTATCTTGTCAAACGAGCTCACAACAAGTCATCGTCTTTTTACATTGCTGCCATAAACCATTTATTAAATATAAATATATGATATAATATTTACAATGTTAGAATATGATGTTGCAGCAATATTTTTATTAAGGTAGCAATATACAAAGGTTAATTTAATTAACTCTCAATGCAGTAAGTTTCCCCCACTGCAAAAAAATCACTCAGCCCTAATCTCGTCAGAGCGATCTCTTCCCGCATGATTCCCAACCACGCCGCCGTCGTCTTTCCTTTCCCTCTGTCGACCACACACTCGCCGCTGTCGTTTGCCTCCCGTCATCCATTCAAATCACCCTAGCCCTAATCCCGTCGATGAGAAATCTCTCCGTGCCAATCCCAGCTACGCCGCCTCCTGGAGAAGTAAATGATGCATTACTTTATAAATTATGCTACATATGGTACTATAAATTGCTTTATGTAATACGAGAGTATGATGTCACTTCAGCATAAATATTGTGTAAGTAAATACTAATTTATTCTATACGATATTTTGATACTAAAATAATAAAAAAATAAGTGGAATATGATTTTATTTAAAACCCGTATCAATTCTCCAATTTTTTTTTTTTTTTTTTATTTTGGATATTGTTCCTGTTTTAAGGGAAAAGAAGAATGAATTGTTAGTAAGTCAATACTTCTAAATTTTGATATAATTTGATACCCATTGCCTTATATGATAAAATCAATTTTGATTTTGATTTTTCACCCCGATTAAACGTGATAATAGTCCTGACTAATTTGTCACATTTAGATTAGGCACAGAGTTTTAGATATTGTGTAATTAGTGAGTAATTAAGAAATATATTAGTAAAAATAATTATGATTTAATAAAAATAATTTTAAATTAAAGGGGTGTATTCAACATAGATTTTATAGGATTTTGACAAACTTTTAAAATGTGGATGTATTCAATCCAAATTTTTAAAAGTCTTTCAAAATCTTGAGGTATTCAATGTAAACTTTTAAAAGTAATCTGGAGATATTCAATCCAAATTTTTAAAAGTCTTTTAAAATTTATGAATTTTATTGGATTTTAATGAATAATTATAAAAAATTTATATTGTACAAAATCTCTCCGGGTAAGTAGAGATTTTGATGGATTCTTGAAAATATATTATTATTATTATTATTATTATTATTATTATTATTAATGTATGAGTAATAAATATTATAATATTATTAAAATATTTTAATAAAAAATAATAATTTAAAATTAAAATATACTAGCAAATTATTATCATTTTTTATTAAAATATGTGTTTTTATATTATAAATATAATATTTAAAAAATAAAAATATTTTATTATAATAAATATGTATTACAATTATCATATATTTTCAATTATCAAATACATTATTATTGTGTCATTCTTCGTTGAATCGTTAATTTATGTTTACTCTTTTTTTTTTTATAATTTTACTTTTTAAATTTCAAATATTTTCTGCAAAAATCGTAAATTTGGATCTTGATTTTATATATATGTTTATTTTATGTAATAAATATATAAATCATAATACCAAATATAAATTAAAATAAATTGATATACTGAATTATAATAATATAATAATATTAATATACAAAAATAGTATCATGTTAAAATATTTCTACATCATTAATAATTTTAAAAAAAATATTTATTAAATAATATCAGATGAATTTTCAATCGAATACGAAGCTTAAGATTTCTCACATCTCTACAAGAAATATGAAAATTCACAAACAACGATAGCTAATGCAAGAAAAATGAATATTGCTACTACTATGTGGAAAATGAGACCGTAATATAATGAAAATAATAATAATAATAATAATAATAATAATAATAATAATGAATTTTTTAAAATTAAAAATATTTATTTATATTTTTATTTAATAATTTGAATAAAAAAAATTATCTACAAGTGTGTTTTATCTAAATTTATATAATTATATAAATTATTAAAAACAATATTTTACAATCCTATCAAATTCATATAAATCCATAAGTTATTAATGAAAATCAATGAAAATCCATCTAAATCAATTAATAAAATCCACTAAATTATGCATGGACTCTGTAAATTTAGAAAATTCACACAAATCCATAAACTTCTTAAAATCCAATAAAATCTTATAAAATCTTAAATGAATACACCTCTGAGATTAAGATAACTAAATAGTTTTAAAATGTGATTAAAGTGTATAATTGTATTTTCCAAATAAAATAAATGACAAATTTAAATGGGATGAACGAAAATAAAAATAGTTGACAAATTAAGTGGGATGGATAGAATAATTTTTTAGAGAATATTTTACTAAGAAAAAATATAATGATGTATAGATTTGTTAGTTATGATGTCATGTGTGGCAGGTGACATGAGACGTCGGGGGTTTAAACCCATGACCTCACGGTCACAAGTCCAACCCCTACCACTACCACCAAATTGACTTTTTCTAGCGAGTATTTTGTCCGTCAAAATAAGTCTGCTACAAAAAGTGGTTTTTGTTATGAAATTTATCGGAATAAAAAGTTTAATGGTTGGTCAACCTTTTTTTTTGTATTTATTTTGATAATTCATCTGTAATAAATACATTTTTGACGGGATGTCGTCCTATATAAATTTGTTACGCAATTCAAACCGTAACAAATATCTAAATGTTGAAAATTTCTGTATATATATAAAATCTATATAGAGTTATTTTAAAATTTTAAAAAAACTTATTAATTTCGGTAATTTATTCGTAACAATTACACATTTTGGACAAGATGTTATCATATACATGTTTGTTATGAATTTCAAGTCGTAACAAATAAGTTAATATTAAAATTTTCTATTTAAATAAAAAAATCAATATAAAATTATTTTAAAATTAAAAAAAATACTTATTTCGATAATATATCAATAGCAATTACATATAAGGTAAGATGTTTTAATATATACATATATATTTTGCAAATTCAATCGGTAACAAAATCTTTAATATTATAATTATAAAAAATAATTATATACAATTATTTCAAATTTATTATTTAACTACAAAATTTAATTTTATAACTGAAACTAATTAATTTATTATACTTTATATTTTCATTGCTAATTATAAATTAATTCATAGAAATAATTAAAATATCTTCAATTTCTTCTAATTATTGATTATTTTTCTATTAATATATAATAATTTAAATTAAAGATAAAAATAAAATAAAACCAAACTTGATATAAACATCAAACCCTAGCCGCCGCTCGCCTTCTTCTTCCTCTTACATTTTCTTCTTTGTTTCCATTTTTTCTTGTTTCTCATTCTTCCTCTTCCTCTTCTTTGTTTACTTCTTCCGCCTCTTCTTCCTTATTTCCTTTCTTTCTTCGTTTACTTCTTCTTTTTTGTTTCATTTTTCTTCTTCTCTAGAGCAGCCGTTGTCCGCCTGTTCCGTTCGTGGTCCCCGATTGATGTTGGAGATGAAAACCGAAGACACCATTGTCACCGATAGGAGCTTTCTGGCGAAAGAAAGAAGGTTAAGTTGTTCTTACCGTGTTCTTGATTTTGTTTCCTTTTGTGTTCTGCTTCCTTGGAGTAGCAACAAATGCTTTGTTGATATCTAGTTACAAATCTCTTGTTTTGAAAATTATTTAATTATATGTTGTGTTGCTACTTTGGGTTATTCTGATTTTGTACAAAAAATATGTTATAGGTTAAAATTAGAAATTGAAAAAAATTTGTTAGTTGAGCTGAATTCCAAGATCCAATCACACTTATATGGTTGTGTGATGTGGGATATTTGTGGAGAAAACTCTGAGACGAGGATTGTGTATGACAATCTAAGCATTAACATTTGAGTCACTTCTAGAAGAATAACATTAAACACTGCAGAAATGTAGTTGGTCCCATAAGTAACATATACTTGCATTATAATTTTCTGCGATTGATTCATGTATGTAAATGTATGGAATAAAAGAGTCATTGGAGTTGTGCCGATCTCACCATGCCTCACCTTGAAGTCTTCACTACTTCTAAATGGAAGTATTTATCCTTGCTAATATTATAATATGATACCATATTTTTTTCAAATAATGTATCTTATATTAATAAATCACTGCGGGACTAGATTATTGCAGGCGAATGTTTTATAGCCACTTAAAGACATTGAAACCATAAATGCCAACAAAATTGTACTACACCTCGGAGAATTGCTCTTATGAACGAATTGGATAAAATGCTCTGGCACAGTTGTTTATCTTATCAGTTTAGTTTTAAAATTTTTGTTGATATTCAATAATTGTTGCATTAATCCTTGGTGAAAGTTAATTGGAGGATGAGTTGATGAGCAATGAACAACTTTTTTTTTGGCTTTTCTCAGGCTCTTCGGAAGTTCCCAAAAGAAACTGGTGAGTGCTGAATGTAAATAATAGGGAAAAGACTTTCTATGTCCCCTATGATTCACTCTGATAAAGTACTCTCGACACTTTTGCTTTAAGCAAAAGAAAGTTAATAATGGAGTTTTGGCCTTTGATAATTCCAGAAAGAGACGAATCTTGATTAAACTACCTTAGATGCTTTACCATTATTTTCAAAGGTACATCAATGTAATATTTTTTGGTCTGTGTTGTATGTTTTCTTTGTATTCTTGAATTTCGGTTTAGATAACATTAATGTGATAGAAAGCGGCTGAAAATTTGCAATGCTTGATAAATTCATTTATTTGATATTCCTTGAACTATATATTGGCAACTAAGAGTAGACTATGCTAGCCCTAACAAATGACATGTGGCTTACTTTGGTTGATGTTGGAATTAGCTTTAGCTCTACTCATGTGCTGATTTTTTTTTCTCCCTGTTAAATAGCCTTATGGCTGATTTTTTTTTTTCTCTCTATTAATTGTAGCTTCTCCTCCGTGTCAACCGCAATTGTTCGAAGGCAAAAAAATATGCAAGTATGAGGATTTAGTAGATCAGCCCCTCCCCTCAGCCCCCTTCAAAATTCTGCACCACGAAAAATTCTGCAATCAGGGAAGTTTTTCTTGGCTTTGAATATTGATAATATATAAGTTTGCTTCTTGATTGTTTGTTTGTATATGTCTTGATTGTTGTAGGTTAGATTAGATTGGTTTAGGTTGTTTAATTTCTGTCTAGTTCCTTAACCTTGTTGTTGCAGTAGGATAATTTGTGTTGTTCTGTTTCTTGAATTTCCTTGGCTAAGATGAGCTGCTCCTTTAATTAACTTAGATTGGTATTGTTGTAAATCTAAGTTAGTTTTGTGTTTATTTAGTTGTTTAGGTTTAGAACTTGTTAATTAAGCTTGGATTCAATTTTAGTCGATGTTTAATATAATTGTTATTTACTAGTAGGTTTGCACTTCATTGTGAAGTTCTAATGAATCAGAGATTCTCATCAGCATTGAATAGAAGGTGGGAGTCCATGTCCACACTTATGGAAGCGTGTTTCGTGATTTTATCATTTTCAAATCATTATTCCTTTGGTCGGATAATTTATCCTTGGGAACAACCTGAAGATTATTTCTCTTGCTGATGATGAATTTCTGAGTAGCTTTTAGCTCTGAATGATGCTGAGAATCTAGAGGATCTGTTTGATGGTATTATATAACAATCGAGGTTCTCCATTTGTTTGACTATGTGTGAAGCAACATGAAAATATCAAATTGCACTGATGCTTTTTTAGATACAACATTGTTGTAGCAAGTGAAGCATTTTTGTATCATTTATTTTGATTAATGTGTTGCAGAGTAGCATATTCAAGGGTCAGCCTATTTTATTAGTGCTTTTCGAGTTTATTTGTTACTATACTTGTATTTAAGATAAGGTCCCTTGATTAAGCTAAAACGTAAGTTTTATTTTATTATATTCATCCATATTGTTTACAGAGGCAGACCTTTCTTGTAACTAGCGCTCGTTTAACCTATTTATATAGGTGATACCCTAGCCATTGTTAAGGTGTATGTTACAGCTGTAATAGTCCCGGAGACCGCACTTATCCTTCCAACTAATGCTAGAGCAAAAATTCTCGTTGATGTATCCTTCCAACTAATGCTAGAGCAAAAATTCTTGTTGATGTATTCGACGGAGATAATATCGAGTAGATTTATCAGGATGTACATATTTTTTTTATTTACTTTATTCCTTTGGAAATTAAATTACTTCAATTTTTATATTAAATGCTTATATATTATTAAAAACACATTGCAGTTGGTTCGCCGTCCGTGATTGCATACTCCATGATTCTGCACTCGACGAGCTGGGTCATTCATAGTTGTATTTATGAGTTGCCCTTAAGATCGTACTTACGTATGATATCAGATTTATCTATTTACGTATTACTTTTTGGTTTTGCGTATCGTTATTTAGTAGGTTGTTATGTTGGTGTACGGATTGGTGTTTTTTTGGGATGTTTTGTTAGCACCGTTGACGACTAATATTTTATTTTTGGCTGGACTATGAACATCGTTGTATTGATGACCATGTGTAGTATTACCATGGATTTGGAAAAAATTATGATAAGATTAGGTTTTAAATTATTTGTCTCACAGATTAATAATTGCTTTAGTCTCTGTTTGTGGTGACATAAATCTCTCCCTACAACTCATGAATTAAGAATTCTAATACAGACAAATGAAATTTATTTATGGCGATAAAACTACTATGCCACACAGGGGCGTCCTTGGTAGCGTATTTTTAGTTACGGACAGTGGCCGGTACAAATGGTAATGTATGGTTGCCTGACTTGTCATGACTTTTTGTTGCGGACTAATTTTGTAACAAACAACTTATTTGTTATGGGGCAGTCCTTTTGTAATGTATTGTTATTACGGACAAATTTTGTAACAAGAAGTTTTCTGACAAGATTAGACATTTGTAACGCATTTGTTGATTCGGACATATGTCGTAACAAATATTTCTCTGACATTATTCAACTTTTGTTCCGCATTATTTGTGTCGGATATTTGTCGATTCAAAAACATGATTGATGTTTTCGTTACATACCAAAAAAGTAACAAATATAATTTACACGTGCTTATTTTGAGAGTTGACCACCAAATATTTATTACGGATTTTGTTGCAACACGGACTTTTTGTACCGCGATTTTTCGTAGCGGTCAAAATCCGCAACAAAGTCGACACAAAAAGCTATTTTGCACGAAAAATGGGTTTAGTTACGAATATTTGACCGTTACAAAAAGACCTTTTTTTGGTAGCACCACCAGGCCATCCCTTACGGGACTACAAGTACGTTGTTTTTATATGTATAATATGTTGTTCAAAGAGTTCATATATGATGTAAAATAAATTCACCACTACGATACTTTCGCAATAAAGGAAAACAATAAAATAAAATTAGTGTGTTCACGATATTTTTGAATTTTATCTTCTTCCAAGTTCCAAGTTTACTAGTATATTTTATCGGTTCAATCGATATCGGCGGAGAGTTGACAATTTTCAATTTTCTTTTTCATTTTTTTGAGCCTGAAAAAAACAATCTAGCTTTTATTTATGATCACCATCATAATAAAGAAATGTTATAACTATATATGTCATTCTTAAATTATGCATAAATTTATGATTGTCTTAATTATTACATAATGTAAATTACATATCCAACATCGTAATAATCATGACCGTCCATCTTGCATTCCATCCCACAGCTATGATAGAATCATGATGGTCGAGATTATGTGGTTCAAGACCGTAGCAGAACCGTGTATATATATATATATTCATTTCATCTATCCAAATACAAAATATGAGAGATATATTTTTAGTTTTACTAAATAAGACATAAAATTTGACTACACTAAACTCATAATCTCACGGTGATGAATTCACCCCACACCACTAGACCATTCATTATATTTTCAATTCATAATTATATTTTTGCAAAATTTACAATATATTTCTCTATTTTTGCAGGCATACTACAATAATTCATCTTCAATTATACTTTTTTATTTTTAGAGGATCAAATAATATTTTATATATATTTTGTTTTATATATTGTTATATATAAATTTTAAGATTTACAAATAATATTAAGCATTTTATATATTTATTTCTTATATCTTTTATAATAAAACTTTTTATTAATAAATACTACGTCCGTTCAGCCACAAAGTACACAGTGACTTTTTTGTGTTGATATTTGAATATTAATTATTATATCAAAACGTAATATAAATAAAGAGAAAATGACAAAAATACATCTATTAGTCTCTTATAACACAAATATAATCATATTTTTGGAGTAAACTATACAAATATAATAATATTTTTAATATTAAATACAATTGTGCAAAAATATATGACTACTTCCTGGCTGGACCGAGGTAGTATTATACAAAATTAATAAATACTAACTAATATATACAAATTTATCATAATTATATATAATAAAAAAATATCAATAAAAAATCCTTGCATCAATAAATATATAATTTATTATAAATATCTATAAAATGCAAAAATAATTATTTTATAAATAATAAAATAAAAATATAATTTACCAATAGTTAAAATTATTTTATAATTAATTTTTTTAAAAAAAACAAATACAACAAAAAAATGCAGGGTGGCTGGGAGAGTTAAACTACAAAATTGTACGTTCAATTGGAGAACATATATAGAGATTAATAAGTTGAGTTAGAGATGGTATTAAAAGCAAGTACAATGATTAATTCCAAAAAAAAAAAAAAGACCTCTATATTTGATCTCTTCAAGCTCAAATAGAATTTCATCTTTTGGATTCTCAATTTATCCGCAATAGTTAAAAAAATCAAACTCATTTCTAACACTCACTCAGGCCCGTTCTTGATATTTATTAGGCCCGGGGTAAAATTAGAATATTGGGCCCTTAAAGGTGTGTTTGTTTGAGGGATTGAATTTTTTTTTCACTATTCATCCAATTTTTTTCCCCCAAAACCATCAAATCAAACACCTATTTTTCATTTTTATATTATACTAAAAATCAATTTTACATTCAAAATATCACATCAACACCTATTTATATCACATCATACAACTATTCAAATTCAAATTTTTTATGCAAATCCCAACTCAAAATCCAAACCTCCAAACAAACACACCCTAAATATATTTCTTATATAATAATAATAATAATAATATAATATATATTTTTTAATATAAATGTATTATTAAAATATTTTTTATATATTAAAAGATCAAAATATAAATATAAAATTACTGTGACATATTTAGTATAACATAAAAAATTAAAAAAATATATTTGATTAATATTTTTTAAAGAATATTTTTATAAACAATCAAAAGTCTTTAAAAGAAAATTTTCAAACAAAAATATTTACTAAGGGTTTGTTTCTTTTGATTGGTTTAGGGAAAATTTTGGTTTGAATTTAATATTAAGATAATGTTTGATGAAATGTTTGTGAGAGAGAAATTGCATAATCCTAATAGTAAAAATTAGAAAGTTTAGATTAAATAAACAAACTCAATGTTTATATAATACACAAATTTTTAAAACTACTACTAAAAAATATAATATAATATACAAATTTAAACATATAAATATAAAAATAAAAATAATAAGAATACAAAAATCTTACTCTATCATATCCTTTTAATTTTACATAATTCACAAAAAATATAAAATCATACCATTAAAATAAACATATTAAAACATACAAATAAATAATTTAAAAATTAATGTAAAAATCATTTATTTAAAAAATAATTATAAAATAAATTTTTTATTTAAATTTTATTTTATACATACTAAAAAATATATATATATTAATATATAGGAGTATATGTATATATATATTATTGAGCCCCTTATGGGCCCCTAGAGGGAATGGGCCCTGGCCAGGGCCGGGCCTGCACTGACGGACAAAAAACCCTTTACGGGTGATTGATCGGTTTCTAGGATAGCAAAAATTTTGAGTTTTCTCCCTACACTTTTTATTTCCAAACAAAATACATGACTTGACCAATATACTAAGAATTCTTTTTCTTCTTCAATTTGATTTTTATTATTTAGGTTCTCAAACTAGAGTAAGATGAACGAAAAATATTACAATAAAAAAAAATTAGAGAAAATGAAGGTGGTGCATCAATTGAGGAGAGAGCAAGCTATGGTTGTGATGAAAGAAAAATAACAACAGGAAAAAGTCGGGCGGTGAAAAAAAATTTAAATTGGGGAGGCGGTGTATGAAAGGAAAAGGAGGGAAGGATGAAGAAAGCTGAAAAAGGCCTCTACTTTTCAGCCCGGATAAATAAAGATTATTGTGTAATTATTTTTATTTTATTTTATTTATTTTTGGGATATGACAAAAAAAATATCTCTATGATCATCCAGAACATTGATAAGAGGTTAAGTGTATATCTTTTGAGGGATGAAAAAAAAAATATTTTGTATTCAATTTAAAATATGATATAAATTTTATGAAACTTAGATTCATAATTTGCATTAATTGATATTCACACATTCTTTTGTTTTGAAAGCATTGTTTGAGTCCATACAAAGATTTTTACAATTTGATGGAATATGATTCTTTTGGCTTTGATTTGAATGATACAGGTATGTTGAATCCTTCTGAGATTTTCATATAGACATTATTGTCTAAGAAGCCGCAAAGATAGGCAGTAACCACATCCATTAATCGCATATTAAGATTTTTGCGTACTGCTAGACTCACAAAATACCTTAATGTTATTCCATCCATGACGGGTGGATATGTTTCTTCAAAATCAATATCCAATCTTTGGGAAAAACCCTGGGCTACAAGTCTTGCGTTATATCTTGTGATATCTTTATTTTCATTTCTTTTTCTCAAAAACACCCATATGTAACCAATAGGTTTCACATTTTCAGGTGTTTGGACTATAGGGCCGAATACTTGCCGTTTTATTCAATGAGTCCAATTCACATTGAATTGTGTTTTTCCATTTTGCCCAATCATCTCTTTTTAGACATTCATCAACTGATTTTGGTTCATAATTCTCGTAATTTTTCATTATATCGAGTGTTACAAAATATACAAATGCATTATCAATATTTGTTTTCTTTATGTTCCAATATTTTCCACTGGTGGTATAGTTAACAAAAGTTTCAATAACTTCATCATCACTTTCATCAGAATTTTTAGTATCAACCTCTTCAGGGGTTGTACTGACCTTTTCAGGTATCTGATCATTGTTGATCTATTTACCAGTATTTACAATTTTCTTCTTTCGTGGATTCTTATCCTTGGAACCCAACTGTCTACCATGTTTTACGCGGACAGTATGTTCATTAGCACTCGACACCTTCTCTTCCGGGTTATTTATTTTAGCTAGTGCAATTGCTACTGCAATATATAATTTTGTAATTATGGTAGCATCATTAAAAGCATCATACAATTGATTTGCAATTTTCTGCAAATGCATAATTCTTTGAACTTCAAGTTCACTATGTTTCGTACGAGGATCAAATTCAAGTGGTATTTTCCACGAATTTTTTTCTTTTTTAGTTGATTATTGTCTCCCCCTAATGTCGGGAAATGAGATTCATCAA